CTGTTCAGGAGTGGGGGGTAGGGAGGGGAGGAAGGGGAGTCCGGCAGAGGAGCATGGGGAGGTGTGGCTCCAATGACTGTGTGCAGCTCTGGGCCCGCAGGGTGGTGGGGGGTGGGGGCAGGCGAATGCAGGGGGGAATGCAGTGTATGGGAGACCAGGTGGTGACTTTGGTTCGTTCAAGATGTTTCATAATAAAGAGGGTAAAACTGAGGAGCAAGGAGGAAAGGTTTCCTTCTGGTTTGTGCTTTTTGTAGGCCAAGGCGGAGGAAGGAGCCTGTCATGAGAAAGAGAGATGAAGCGGAAGAAAACCAGGGAGAGACGGATGGTTGGACTCCTGATTGGACAACAGAAGAGCTCCTTCCTCAGTAACAGGGCTGTAGACAAAGCCCAGCCTTCACACGGGCAACCGAGGACATCAGGGCAAGCTCTGGCTACAGCAGGCAGGGGCAGGAAGAGGAGAGTTCTACCTGGAAAGCATTTCCAACCCCCTCTCGACCTCCCTGCACCGCTTGAGGCTGGCTTCCATGCACCCAGAGCTCTGGCCCCATTGTTCTGGGCTCCTGAGGTTGGGGAGGACCCGTCTACAGAACCTGTGGCTGCTTCCTCTCCCTTTCCCTGAAAGCAGGATGGGAGAATCGCTGGCTTTCCCTGCTCCGGGTCCCTGCTCTCCCTGCCCAGAGCCCTCCCCTGCGATGGAAGCGGCTCCTTCTCATCTGCACTGGTTCCTAGTGGGCAGTGCTGGACAGCAGGCAGACTGAGTACCAGGAAAGCAAGACCACACTCAAGGGCGTGCACACGCGTGCTCGCACACACACACACACACACACACACACACACACACACACTGGGAGAACTTAATCTCCCGTTTTTAAAAAAGCAACGGAATATATAACGTGGCAAATTCAGATCATCCCTATACTTACGTTGGGGCTTGTTTTTATTTTGAATCACTTTTTTAAAAATTTGTTTTAATGTTTATTCATTTTTGAGAGAGGGAAAGAGACAGAGAACGAGTGGGGGAGGGGCAGAGAGAGAGGGAGACACAGAATCCAAAGCAGGCTCCAGGCTCCGAGCTGTCAGCACAGAGTCTGATGCGGGGTTCGAACCCACAGACTGTGAGACCATGACCTGAGCCCAAGTTGTGGACGCTTAACCAAGCCACCAGGGTGTCCCTATTTTGAATCACTTATGGAGAGAGTCACCACAGTTTTTTCCACCCTTAAGGCCTCCAAGGGCTTAATCAAGCCCTGCCCCTCACCCCTCTGCACTAACTTTTCAGAGCTCAGAGAATGTGATAGCACAGCCGAGAAACAGGGAGTGCTGGTCAGGAAGGGCAGGCCCAACACAAGGGGCGTGTGCGCCTGCTTTTTTGTGCCGACTGGAAGTTCAAAACATGCTGGAACACGGAAAAGAAAGGTATTTGCCTGAGTGACTCAGATATGTTCCAGCATTTTCCCACAGGCTCCTGCATATCCCAAAATAACTGCAACTCTGGATCCTGTTCCTTGGCATATGATTACATTTGTATAATGTTACAGAACAGTGGGCAAAGTGGCCACACTCACACAGGAGCTGCAGGAATGCACAGCCCCAAGTGGAGATCCATGCTGCAGAGACAGAAATATAAGCATAGAGACCATGAGAGTAAGAAGTATAGACTCACCAGAACCAACCAGGTCACCACGAGGGGCTCTGGTCAATGTCCACCTTTCATAGGGGGAGAGAAAGGAAAGGAGAAAGGAAACTTGCCCACACTTGACGCATCTGGGGACCCTACACACCCATCAACTAATACTGATGCTTATTTTGAAATGTCAGCTTAGCCTTGGAATCATAAGCTCTTAAGTCAAAGGGACTTTCAGGGTCTCCGGGCCCATCAAGGGTGCCTCCGTGCCCAGGTCTGGACAACAATGTGGGAATTAGGAGGTTTCAAAATGGACTGCCTCAGGGGATTTACAGTCTTGCTCAGGAAATGGCTGGAGGCATTCAAACAGCTGGAAGACAACTGGGCCCTGGCAAACAAGCAGAAGGCACGCAGTTTGGAGGAAGGAAAGTCTGAGAAGGAAAGTTCTGTCCAAGTAGGGAAGGGTTCACAAAATGGCGGGCTCAAGGGTGCTCACGGGTGTCCAGCAAGATCTGGACAAGAGGCAAGGACAATCTCAAAGGTGGGAAGGGGCTGGAGGGATGCAGACCCTGAGACGAGAGGAAATGGGGGGTGCTCTAGAAAGCTCTGGACACCAAACCCAGGTACCTGGGCTGCCAGCATTGAGGCTGCAAGTGGCTTTTGTTGCGGACGCCATTACTTGCTATTTCCAAGTCATTTGCTTCACCCAGGCGACAAGAATAATTTCACAGTATTTTGACACAATATATGTAATTTTAAACGCTCTGTCCTAGGAAGAGGCGAGAGGTTATTTTCAAATTTCTGTGGTCCTTAAATAGTCCTGCTCCTCTTGGCCACCACTGCCCACTTGGTGCTACAGAAGACGGCACACTGTAGTGAGACTAACGTGGCCTGTCTGCTGGGACTGGATTCAAATCCTGCCTCTGCTGCTGGCTCTGCGGGCAAGTCACTTCTGGTCTCCTCACCCACCGCGTGAGAATGTTGAGAATAGCCTACGGTTGTTACATGCCAGGAACAGCTTCCACTGCCTCACATGTCTGAATTCAATTTAATCATCCCCCACTCCCCCATTTTACAAGTGAGAAAGCAAGGAAGGAAAAGGCTATGTGACTTGCCCATTGTCCCAGGACTGTTACAAGAAGCTGTAATTGAACCCAAGAGTTCTTTTTATTATTTTTTTAATGTTTATTCATTTTTGAAAGACAGAGAGAGACAGAGCACAAGCAGGAGTGGGTGGAAAGAGAGGGGGACACAGAATCTGAAGCAGGCTCCAGGCTCTGAGCTGTCAGCACAGAGCCCAACACGGGGCTCGAACTCATGAACCACGAGATCGTGACCTGAGCCGGAGTCGGCTGCTCAACCAACTGAGCCACCCAGGCGCCCCGAACCCAAGAGTTCTGATTCAACCCTGTGTTCTGAAAATGATGTTCTCTAAAGGGCACTTGGATGGGTGCATAAGCAGAAACCCCCTGACACCAAACAGATACTTAGTGGGTATCTGTCCCCTGACTCCTACAGAGGCCAAGACAGTTATGTTGGCAAGAACCCTGCAGCCAGCTCTACAGGGCCTGTTGCCTCCATCCAGGACCCAGGGACGACCAACACATGCCAGATAATTCCTGCCCTGATACCCAGGTACCATCTAATTTGGATGATTGAAAATATATTCTAACTACAGCGAAGGTCTACAGGTGTTTAGTGATAAAAATAACATCAGTCCAATTCATAATCACCCAGGGAAACTTAATGTTAAGGTCCACTGAGAACAGACGCCCAAGTACCAAAAAGAAATGGTCCCATTCTTTATCTTTGGTTCATTTTAAAAACAGCCCAGGAGGCCTGTTTTCCTATTTGCACATTTTCAAGTTTCTAGAATCAATGGTGTGTCATCAGCAGTTTGTACTCCCCAAACTAGTTCACCCAGGAATGATGCTGGCAGGTTCCCATCAGAATGACTTCAGCCTTTCTCAGCGAGCTAAGAGTGGCAACGACACCAGCATGTATTTTTGTGCAGTATCGTCAGGCACCAATATTAAACTCAATACAGTCGTGAGGAATTCGGCACGGGGGCTCTAAGTCAGCATGCGACGGGAGTTCCAAGGTCTCAGGACTATCCTTCTCTTCCATTTTTGGTTTATGTGAAAGCAATTAAAACACCAAAATCTAGCCCATTCAGGGGCTGTGGTCCTTCCCAAGCTTTCAAAACACACGGGCATACAAAGAGGGATCTTCTACCCAGCGGCTTGAGTAAATCTGATCTTAACCCCAATGGCTTCTAGGAACCCAATCTGGGACGATAAACCCAGGCTGGTTAGATGACTCAGAGAAGTGTCAGATAAAGATGACCCCAAGGCTCTCACAGAACACATTCCCCACCCTCCAGTGACCTGGACTCCACAGAACACTTTGGTCAGCCTCCGGCAACACCAGGGTCTGATTTTCTCCTGCGCTTTTGAACCAGCCCAGCCCTTCCCCGAGGCCTGAGGGTGGCCCGGGTGAGCAGAGATGCTGCCCGAGTGATCCCAGGGCTGGGCCAATCCTGAGAGGTGTGGCCGGTCCAGTCCCATCACCTGGGTGCACAGCCCGGAGTCTTCCCAGGAAACAGCTGCCATCTGAGGATGCAAAAGTGATGGACCCTCATTCTCACGATGTGGGCCAGGATCCATGTGGATCCCAGAGCCAGCTAGTAAATGTGTCTGTCGCTGTCACTGAAGCCAGGGAGACACAATCTTGATGCTGACACTCCTCAGCACTTCAGAAATCACCAAAAAACACTGTGAGTTTGATTATTACTTTATTTTACTTTTCTTAAATGTTGCATTAAAGTCATCCAGCATACAGATATTCCTGGGCTCCTTGCACATTTTATTCTATCTGAGGTTAGGTATTTTAGCTAGGAGATGAAGATCATCCCAACAAAAGAGCAACAATTCCGAAAAATGGGTTTCGTGTTTGTGTGATGGGAAATCAACAGCCCATCCACCAGCCAAACGCCTCCCTCGGTCCAGAGCTGTGCAAAGACAGAGTACAAGCGTGGCTCACACATGGTGCCCGCGCACAGATGGGGCCCCGCCACCAAGCAATGGGGTGAAAGTTCTGAAACGAGCAACTGCTGCATTTGTACAGAGTAAGAATACAGAAGAGCATCATTTTCCTTTTAGCCCTTTAATTAGCGTGTGTGGCCTCCACCCAAGTTACTGCGTACCAAGCGCCTATGAAAAGTAAAAACAAACGGATTCAAAGTCCCTGAAATGCATGCAACTTAAAATTCCCTAAAGCACACCGCCAGCGCCCAGTCCCCGGGTCTGATCTGTGTCCAGTGGAGACTACGGTGCCGCCACGTTACCAGCTGTGTCCGTCGTGCTGCCGGGGTTTGCCGTCGCTGCTTCTTTGGCTTCTGGCGGCTGCTGGGTTTCAGTTTTGGGATCTTCTCCGTTTCCCGCACTTTTCTTACTCTTGTCTGTGGCCGTGGCACCCATCTCCATGATTTCCTGCAGCGGCCGATCGGATTCAAGGGAGCTAGGCTGGAGTTCATAAACCTGGACTTGACCTGGGACATCTATCGCTTTCTGTTCAAGTTTTTCCAGGATGGTCTGAACCTTCCTGACACCATCTCTCCTGGCCTGACGGACATCAGCTCGTCCTTCAGGGTCTACTGAATCCAGGGCCAGTAGCTCTTTGGTCAAATACTCTTCGATCATTAGGTACTTTTTGTCTGTCTTCTTGCCTTCAAAGTTGTCCACGGCCTGCTCCAGCCCTTGCACGTTCTGCAGGATGGCTTCCACTTTCAGCACGCCTGGATGTTTTGGGGGCGCCTCAGCTTCTCCTGACTTGGGATGTGCAGCCTCTGCAGGGGCGGGGCTGGGGGCTGCCCTCTCTTCTGCAGCCACATTCTTGGGGGACGAGGGGACAGCAGAAGGGGCGGGGCTGGGAGGATGGGGAACCGGAGCAGCGGGAACCTTTACTTCCACCCTCTCAGAGGCGGGTGGGGGCTTCTGGGAAACAGGTTGGGAATCTGCCTCCTTGCGGATCACCTGAATCGGGACGTGTCCAGGAAGGAGATCTGGTCCAACTGGGCCTGGCTTGCTTTCGGGTTTGTTTTCAGGTTGGGGAACAGGTGAAGATTCTCGATGAGTCATGGGCTGCTGAGAGGAGGCAAGGACACAGAGATATTTTTAATAACTGGCTGAGAGTCACAGGCAGTTGTTTGTAGTGAGTACAGACCATAAAGAAAACTGGGGAATGGCTTTAACGTATAAAAGAGATTTTCAAAGTCGACCAAATACTGTCACAAAATAAAAACATATTGATCCTGTAAGGTGACCAAACCATTTGTTTCCATTCATCACCCATCACCTTGGACTGTGTGGGTCTGTCACCATTCACTGAATTTTTCTGTAGATGGTATTCTTAGGGCAACGAAAAGAAAACCAATGTAGTATTCAAAATGAAAATATCAAAAAACTCGCTGACTGCTGAGCTAGTTTAGCCCAAAGCAAAGTCCTGGGTGACTCAGAATCTCGGTGGCACAGCCATGGAGGAATGATTGCCACATGTGCCCTTCCTTACACTGTGTGGACAGTTCTGTTCAGGGTGTGACAGTCTCATCTCCCATTTCAGAAGAGTTGTAATCTTTTTTTTTTTTTTTAATGTATATTTATTATTTTGAAAGAGAGGCAGAGCATGAGCAGGGGAGAAGCAGAGAGAGAGGAAGACATAGAATCTGAAGCAGGCTGCAGGCTCTGAGCTGTCAGCACAGAGCCCAACGTGGGGCTTGAACTCACGGACCGCGAGATCATGACCTGAGCCGAAGTCGGACACTCAACTGACTGAGCCACCCAGGCTTCCCTAATCTTTTTTTTTTTTTTTTAAAGCTATGACAGCCTAGCAGTTTCTGCCCAGACTGATCTATTTTTTGAGAATAAGCAAGGTGCCTAAAATAGTTAACTCTGAGGATTTTGCCGCGCACATTTATGCCCAGAGCCAACACTCAGCCGCGCATCTCTGCACGGACTCCTGGCCGCCCATACTTTTTAATGTGACCACAAGCGGTATTTTTTAAAAAGGGCTATGCTTCAAGCAAGTATCTTAGCTTTCCTAGCATCTAGGTGAATACCTCACCCCGCTTCTTTATTATGCGTGTGTCGCTGACACACAGTGTTACACGGTTTCTGGTGTACCGCACAGTGATTTGACACTTCCACACATTACAGGTGCTCACCACAGTAAGTGCACTCCCCAGCTGTCACCACACGTCGCCACAATATTCCCTACGCTGTACTTTTCATCTCTGTAGCTTATCTTATAACTGGAAGTTTATACCTCTTAATGGCCTTCACCTATTTTGCCCATCCCCCCATCCACCTCCCCTCTGACAACCATCAGATTGTGCTCTGCATTTAACAGCCCGTTTGGCTCTTTGCTTGTGCTTTTGTTTTGTTTTTCAGATTCCACACAGTAGTGAAATCGTATGATATTTCCCTTTCTCCATTTGACTTATTTCACTTAGCATAATACCCTCTAAGTTCATCCACGTTGTTACAAATGGCAAGATTCCATTCCTTTTCACGGCTGAGTAATAGTCCAGTGTGTGTGTGTGTGCGCGTGCGTGCATGCCACATTTTCTTCATAATGGACACTTGGGCTGCTTCCGTATCTTGGCTATCGTAAATAATGTTTCAATACACATAGAGTTGTATACTGTTTTGAATTAGTCTTTTTGCCAAAACCCTTTAAAAATCTCACATACCCTAGGGTGTCTGGGTGGCTCAGTCGGTTAAGTGTCTGACTCTTGATTTCAGCTCAGGTCATGATCTCACGGTTCGTGGGTTTGAACCCCATGTCGGACTCTGCACTGACAGTGCAGAGCCTGCTTGAGATTCTCCCTCTCTCTCCCTCTCTCTCTGCCCCATCCCCCACTGGCTCTCTCTCTCAAAATAAATAAACTTAAAAAAAAAAAAACTGACATCCTAATTCCATGAACTGGGAAATAAGAGATACTAATACTAAAATACTAAATTCCACTATAATGTTCAGTTAGGTCAAATCTTTGTACATGTTCAAAAAGAAATCTGAACAAGCACTAAAAAGGAGGGCACCATAAACAAGGTTATGGGAAGCAGAAACAGGATTAAATATTATTTCACCGACTATGGGAAATATATGGGAAAGACATGAGGGGAAGCTTTTCTAGCACTGCAGATGGGCACTTCTTTCCTGGGATTCCTGAGCCCAAGGAAGGACCTGGTGGCTACTTAGCCATCTGAACGCCAGCAACATCCTTTTCCATCAGATTCTTTTGCCAATGCACATGACCTCAAATCTGGCCCTTACCATTCAGGAACCAGCCACATACCCCTCTTTGGGCTTAAAAGGGCTGGGTATGAAAAATGACTCTTATTATTTTTTCAAATTTATTTGAGAGAACGAGAGAGCAGGGGAGGGGTAAAAAGAAGAAACAGAATCCCAAGCAGGCTCCACACTGTCAGCGCAGAGCCCGACACGGGGCTCAAATTCATGAACTGTGAGATCATGACCTGAGCTGAGATCAAGAGTCAGACGCTTACCTGACTGAGCCACCCAGGCGCCCTGAGAAAAATGACTTTAGAAACTCCAAAGAGGGACTGCTCTATGGCGTGTCCTCTTTGAAAATGTCAAGGTCATGAAAGCAAAGGAAGGCCGAAGAACTGTTCCAGATTGAAGCAGACTGAAGAGAAATGATACCTAAATGCAGCGCTCGTGATCCTAGATTAGATCCTGGAGCAGGAGAAACTGCTTTCAAGGAGATCTGAAAGTGGACTGTGTATCAGCTAACAACGTAAGGAGGTTAAGTGTCCCGATTCTGGTAACTGTACTGTGGTTATGAATTAAAAGGTCTTTCTTAGGGCAATATTTGCTGAATTATTCATGGGTAAAAGAGCATGATATCTACAATTAAATCTCCAACAAAGAAACCACGTGGACGATACATACAGAGAGAAGAAATGGCAAAGCAAATACAGCAAGATGTTAACAGTGAATATGGATGAAGGGTAGACTGGGTTTCTTTGTATGATTCTTGTAACTCCTCTGTAAGGCTGAAATTCTTTCCTATACAAAGAAGCTAAAAAAAGAACCACACGACGGTGCTGTCACCATTTATAGTAAGACACCCCGCATTTGTCTACAAGGGGCTTTCCCTCTAAAAACTGTGGCAGAAAACGAACTCGGCTGCTCAAGGTGGGGTCCCAGGGCTGCTCAAGGCTCTGCTAAGCTCCAAGCTTACTGACACCAGCGACCCCCTCCTCCAGGACGTGCCCACGAGTTGCCCCTGAAGAATGAGCAGGTCTGTGCCTGCAACTTTCACCAGACTGGAATGTTTCCCAGCCAGCCAGCCGGCTCATCATCAGTCAGGCAACTCGGTCCTTTGCCATCAGGGAGAGAGGTGGAAGACGTGTCCTTGTCATCAAGCTCCGAGCTGAGCTAAACAGGTAAGATGAGCACTTCCGAAATGCAGAGAGTGCTCACGGGCAGAGCTGTAAGGGACTGTGATGAGGTGCCATGAGAAAGAGGAGTAGGCTTCATGGAAGAGGCAACACTGGCTTGTCCCCTGCAGGATGGGGAAAACCTGGATCGCGATGGCATCGCAGGGGGCTGGTTCAGCATGAGCAAAGGCACAGAGGCGACAAGAATGGAAAGAGTGGAGAAGGGGTACCCGTGAGGAGGAGACAAGCCGTCTGGAGCACTGGAGACGAGGCTGCGGCTAGGATGCGGAAGGGTTATGAAGTGCCTTAACAAAGCGTGGTGGGCACTGAAACACTGAGACAGCGTGTGTGGGTGACACTCTACTTGCTGTCCAGCCATTTCACGGTGGCTGAAGTTCTGCCCCAAAGGCAGCCGCACTGAAAAATGAGCAAAAGCTACAGACAGTACTGAGAGTTCCCAGCACTTGTCCTGCACTTCTGCTGGTGATCAGCCATTTCCAGGATCTCCCTTTCCCCCAATAACACGTGTGTGAACTGGTCACGACCAGTGGAGGAACCAGGGCCCCTGCAAAGAGCTCCTCAGCCCCTGGAGAGGGGCTGCCATAGTCAGTCTGCTGACACCAACTCCATACCTGAGGCCTGTCGACCATGGTGTGTACACGGTGAGGCGAAGGGGAGTGCACAGGTGTGCCGCTTCTGGCCGGGGAGCCCTCCCGGCTGGATGCACCCCGGACGGGAGACCGAAACGGGGACGCTGCCGGCATGGGCCGCGGCTCCCAGTCATCCCCCGGGGCCCTGTGGTACATGGGCTGGTAGGTCTGGTATTCACCCTGCTGCGCTGGGTAGTGGGTCTTCTGGGCTTGGTGGAAGGAAGGCTGGGCTGCCGGCCGGGTGACATTCTGCTCGTGTATCACGGGGATGGGGATGTAGCCCCGGGGGAGCTGGTGGCTGCCCAGGCCGCTCCTGCTGGAGGAGGAGGGCAGGCTGGCCGAGGAGGACGAGGACGAGCAGTCCGAAGCAGCTGGAGACTGAGATCGCTACGAGACACAAAGGGTAGAGGCATGGCTCCATGAGTGACCCTCTACCCAGGTGCTCTAACCTCGTCTCTATCACGTGCCTCCTCAGGGTAACATGTTTAACAGGACCTTCCACCTGTAAACCTTCCATTGCCAAACTGTGGTGCTAGGACTCAGGGCTCTAGAGTCTGGAGTGTTCCAATTCTTACCAGCTCCATCGCCTTCTGAGCCCCATCTACAGTATGGAGCAGATGCCCCTTCCCTCCCCGAGGTGACTAGAAGATTCGGTAAGACCGTCTGTGGATATGCTTCGGCACCTGGGCTGCACGCGGTGGTGCTCAACCTGCTGGTTCTGACTGCTGCCGCACCTGTGGTCACTGCAGGCCACGTCTTTCCTTAACCCTTTCTCTGCTCATCTACAGAGAACGAGCTAAGCACCGGAAGCAGCACATCCCACGTGGCCAGCCCCTGGACCACCTAGAAAGTCAGGCGCGTATTTCCTCAGCTGGCTCCAAAGGGTCCTGTCAGCTCAAATTTGGTAAGATTTCTCTGATGGACGCGTCACTTTTGATTTTGACAACAAAAATATTACATACATAGGTACTACTCTGAAAAGGGAAAAGAGTAGGGCTGAGGGAGGCAATGCCAACTCTGGGCACAGACACGGAGCAGAGGATTTGTGCTCAAAAACAGTGCCAGTGGATACAGCCGGATAATCTGCAGACAGAAAACCCAGAACGGCTTACTTACTGCTCAGGAATCTTACTGGGGTCCACCGGCCCTCAAATCCCTGGCTAAGAACTAGATTAAGAACCCTTTAGAGTTTAGGGCACTGAAGCACTGGCCTCAGGCTTAAAAATAAAACCCTATCATCAAGCAGCTGACTTCCGGACTCTTTATTTTCGGTTTCCTTTGAAACCATGGGACACGGTGAGGGCAGGCATGCCACCTCATTTTCCCATCAACAGAGCTCCACGCAGTTAATACTCACCCCTAAGTAGGGAACTGAGTGAAAGAACACATTGCTATCCCTGTGGTGCTGACGCAGAAAGCCCAGTAGGAGGAAGAAGCACCGGACTAGGAGCCAGAAGGCCAGGCTTCCGGTCCCAGAAATGCCACACTTGTACCTTTATGCATTTGGACCAAGCTGTTTACCCTTGTGAAGCCCAATTCCTTAACCCCAAAGACAAGCCGTGACCCCTGCCCACTTGAAACAACACAGCTGTGAAATGCGGGGGGGACACCGTGTGGCCGTAGTGCTGTCTTTGCTGGGTGACCTCTGCCGCTGCAGGCCAGGCCCGGATGCCCTGCACTTTAGCCCCAGGGTCCGGGGCCTGCCCCCAAAACACAACAGCCCGCTCTCCTTACCTCAGGTCTGTGGGAGCCTGGGGGCTGGGTCGCCGCAGCTGCTGCCACCGCCTGTCCACACTGTTTATCTGGCTGGGTGGCTTCCACCACACCCCGCAGAGGTGACTGGGACCTCTGAGGAGCCTCTGTGGCCGCCTCAGTTCGGAATCGCTGTGTGCCGGGCTGGGAACAGACAAAGGAAGGGCGCGGCTGCCGGCTGTCCACACCCTCGTGGTGGACAGGAATGGCAATGTAGCCTGGTCGGAGCTGGGGGTACACAGCGTGGCCTTCCCTCGTGGGCAGCAGCTTGGAGCCCTCCTGGGAAGGGCCGTTGGCAGAAGACGGTGTTTCCTAAAACACAAAAAAGGAGAAACAGACTGGTTAGGAACTGGGAAGAAAGCACCCCGAAGTGGCAAAAGCGTGGTGCTAAGGGTCCCCATCTCCCAGAGTGATTCTGGGCCCCCCAGCAGCAGCCAAGACGGCTGAGCACAGACAGCTCACAGGCACCCCGTTTCTATCACACATCCCGTCCCCTACACGGCTGTTTATGGCCAGCAGTTTAAGAATTAGGGGCCTCAAGAGAAAGCAGTTGGGCCAAGGTACCCGTTGAGCACCAAGAGGTCCCAATTTCCCAAACTGGTCAGACAGGTTCCTTTTATGGGTGACAAGCGGCAGCAGTTACGTAGGAGAACCACTGACTGTCCCCCAAATCAGAGACCCAGATCAGAAGGTGCGAGGATGACTCAAGTCCAACTCACTACACCACAGCCGGCTTCTCCGCTTCCTCAAAGGTCCTAGCGTTTCCTAACACGGACTTGTGCTGGACCCAAACACAGGACACAGTCGGCACACCTCTGCAGAGAAGCGGCTGTGGGACGAGGCTGCCTACTCGGGGACGTTTTCAGAACAAGCTGCAAGAAAGGGAGATGATGAGGAGTGTGGGGGCAGCACAGGGGGAGAATGAAAGCCAACGATTAATTATGCTGGTCTGAGGAGGCCAACAAAGCCTGCTCTGCTCCGGCGAGGAGTGGCCGGGGTCCCTCTCATGTTCTCGCATGAAGCTGTCCCTTCAGCGGCCTGGCTATTTTGGGACCCTTTGAGAAGGCCAAGTTCCAGATGTACCACAGAGGAAGATCTGGTTTCAAACAACAAGGCCGGTCAGTCACTCACGGGGCAATGTCCTTTCTCACCAAACACAGGCTGGGCAACCAGAGTCAGGGACCCCCAGGATTTCCAGTCTGGACCATCTCCTGGAACACGAGAAGGGCCTTTACAGAGAAGGCAGCTACAGAACTGCACCCCTGACGCACATCTGGGTAGGTTGACTATTAAGGAGGAGAGCTCCCCTTCCTTAAGAAGGCCGAGCTGCAAACAGAGGCAAAGACAGAGGGTCCAGGAGTTTGCAGGGTAGAATTCTCACTGCTGCAAAACCAGTCACAAGGAAGGAAAGCTGAGGGCTGATTTGCATTCTGAGTGATGGACCACTGTGATTTTTGCCTTGTGTTTGTGTTCCTGCACAAGAGTCAGTGGTGGTGGACCCTGAAACTTCGCTCTTTCAGGCCCATCAACTGCTTCCTTCCTGCTGAGCCCCTGCCCCGGGGAGGGCCTCCTGCACACAGAAGAGACAAGGGTGTCGCTGTGTCCTTGGGGACGCCAGCAGACAGGCGCTCTCAGATTAGAATACCCACGTGCTCAGGGTGGCGACATTACTTCAGCCTGTTTAGCTCTCAGGTCACCCAAGAGCAGGGAGTGGGTCCAGGCCTCACATTCAAAACCCGATCCCTGCCTGAGACAAGGCACCAAGAGACGCCGTAGAAACCCAGTGCTACTCAGTGCTGACTCATAACGCGCCATCTAAGCATCTTATCCCCTCGCTGGGACACCCCTCCTTCCAGCCTGAAGCCGGGGCCTGGACAAGTCCTGGGCATTTTCTGTGCTGGCTGCCTGGGGGCCTCACCGTTCCCTCCCAGCCATGCACACAAGCCTCAGCTGCCTGCACAATCCTCGAGCAGGGCAGTTAGGAAGCCCTCATCCACCGACCATCTCCCAGTGACCATCTCGCTACCTGGGCGCTGGGTACTATGGGGGTCACCAAACTGGCAAAGCTCCATTCCTGCCGACTGGGGGCTTTCGAGACAGTTTACGGCACAAAACAAACAGGAAGCAAAACTACAGGGAAAGCCTGGGAGGCTCTGGGAAGGGGGTGGGGGAAACGCATGGGCTTTTCTAGCTAGGATGGGGCTGTCTTAGCTAGGATGCCAGTTCGGTCCGACCTCTGTTAGTAACAGTTCTGTGATCTGGGGGAATTCTCTTAGCCTGTGAGCTTTGATGCCCGTAGTACCTAGAAAACGGGGCTAGCGACACCCATCTATCTGGCAGGACTGCTGTGAGGTTTTGGGAGGGCACATCCAAGGGGGGGGATGCCCAGAAGGCAGCAACACATGCAAGTTCCCTCCCCAAACAGGCACACGGTCATGCTGCACAGACCCCAAAGTGTCAAAGGAATCAAAACTGAAGAGCAAAGTTAACTGATAGAAGATTCAGAGTAGTGACTGCCCCGTAGGAAACGGGAGTAACTGGGAGGGTCTTGAGCCTTTCCATGAGGATGGAAATGCTCTTTTTCTGCATGCTGGTAAACAGGTATATGCCTGTGTACAGATCTATCGAAATACACACTTCCCTGAACCTCCCCCTGCCCTACTGCCCATCCCCTGTCACACTCCACCCGCACTATCCGGCTTCAACAGGTGAGGGCCGCCAACCCCACCGCCCCCACAGAGCCGGCTGTTAGCTGTGCCTCCAACTCAGCCCCTTCCAGGGCCTGGAAACCTAAGATAGGCCTGGCTGAGGCTTGGCGCCTCCTGGGGGAAGCCCCTGGATCCAGACGGCACTGCAGCCGCCTGCCAAGAGCTGTGCATTTTATGCATCTCGCTGAATATCTTCTGTACAACTAAAAGAGAAAAGGGAAGACAAAGGAAGGAGGGAGGGGAGGAAGAGTATTTCTGCCTGCCCAGAGGAGGTGACAGCAGAGACCACCTCCTGGAGCCAATATTCCTTCCACCTGGGTCTGGGAAGAAGTGCCATGTTTGGTCGGTAAAGGAAAGCTGTGGTCACTGTAGGCAGGATGCGGCGTTCGTTCGAGCAGCAGAGGGGAAGGGGACAGCGCATGAAGGTGAGTGCTGAGCTGAAGAAGGTAAGGCTGGAGGCCCAGAGGCCTGACCATCCCGAGAGCTGCTGACGAGAGATGCCTCGGCAAGACGGGAGGAGCCAGAAGGAAAAACCAGGACGCCGCAGGAAATGAGGGGAAGAGTCAGGGACGAGAGCAAGGAAGTGTGGGCAAAGCAGAGCTGAGGGCATGGAAATGAAGGGTGACCCAGAAGGGCGAGCAGGAGAGTGCAGGGAAAGGCTGGCAAGACAGTAGGAGCGAGGGGAAAGGGGCCGCTACCGAGACTCCCGTTCTGAGCCTGGGGCTGGCCTGGCAGGTGTCGGTGCCTGCTGGCTTGAGCAGGGAGGCCGCGACAGGAAGGGTGGCCTGGGGACCCTGAGGTTCTGCACTCTGGGTTCTGTCTGAGTTGGCCCATCTATGCCATTCAGTAACAAACCACATGTCTCTTCATGAGCCTCACATCTAAAAGACTGCTTCCCCATGGCACCCGGGTGGCTCAGCTGGTTAAGGCTCCAACTCTTGATTCCGGCTCAGGTTATGATCCGTGATCTCGTGGTTCGTGGGATCAAGCCCCACATCGGGCTCTCTGCTGTCAGTGCAGAGCCTACTTTGGGTCCTCTCTTCCTCTCTCTCTGCCCCTCCTCTGCTCATTCTCCCTCTCAAAAATAAACAAACATTCTAAAAATAAATAAATAAAGGAACGTTCCCCTTCCACTTTGATTGGGGTATTGTTTAGGAAAACACTAGGTTTAGGTAAGCAGAAAAACCATACCAGCTTTACAGAATAGAAAACTAAATGCTTCTACATGAATGCATAATTTAAACCAGAAATGAGGGGCGCCTGGGTGGCGCAGTCGGTTAAGCATCCGACTTCAGCCAGGTCACGATCTCGCGGTCCGTGAGTTCGAGCCCCGCGTCACACTCTGGGCTGATGGCTCAGAGCCTGGAGCCTGTTTCCGATTCTGTGTCTCCCTCTCTCTCTGCCCCTCCCCCGTTCATGCTCTGTCTCTCTCTGTCCCAAAAATAAATAAACGTTGAAAA